TTATGTGGTTGCACAAATATGCGACCAATGATCTTTTAGATAAACCTGGACATGGTTACATGTACGAGAAATTCGTGCTCGTAGTTGACGGTGAATACATGCGTGTTGAAGGCTGGGTACCAATACCAAAACTCGACCTCAGCTGGTGTAGAACAGATGATGAAGCAAGAGTAGATAGCAAAATCCTTCAGAAACATGCTGCAAGAGTGAACGGCAAAATTCTTCAGAAAAAGGAAAGCAAAGAAAATGTTGTTTGTGTTGACATTTTAAAAAATGTGTCCAGAACAGAAAAGCTGATCGGGATTAAAGAAGAAGACATCTATACAGGCAAGGCTTTATTGCTGTCAAAATCTCAACGTAACAGAATCAGATTCTGGTCCTACAGTCGTCACATGAACCAATTTTGACCTGTAAAGAAGAAAATGAATGTTTGTTTCACGTGTACAATTAATACTTGTCTTCCAGTGTAACATTTCATAGTTAGAAATGGTATATATTATTTTATATAAATTAAAAATATGTAATTTCAACAAAAGTGATTGAAACTAATAAGATGAAGAAAGTAAAGATATTTTGAAGACATTTTACTTTTGTCTTTTTTGCACCATGCAAATGTTTTAAGTAGAACAATAGCCGGTGAATACCCGCCAAGTACAGTGTATATATAATAAGCACAATGTCGAACTAGACTACAGCATATTCAGCTACAACTGACTGCCTTTATTTAGTATTCATTGTTTAATTGTATGTGGTATTAAAATCACAATTATTAACAAGGGCAATCATCGGGCGGGGGCAACTTTAAAAAGAAAATGAAAGAAAATTATTTTTTTATATTTTATATCTTTAATATGTCTGTCTAGTCAATTATAGCAATAATCAGAGAAAATTCAATAATTTGACCTTCAAAGTCATCGTCATACACGAGTCAACTTCAATTTGAGTTTGATATACATAATTATAGTCCTAACCTAAATGTTGAGTTAAGGTAGAACGCGACACTTTGCGAACTTTTGAGTAGCGTCTTGAAAATTGGCATGCAAAATATTGACCATATTTCTGATTTTATTTCAATAGTTTCAGCCAATTTTTGTACAAATGACGTCAAAGTTGACCATCAAAGCCCGTTTTTGAACTTGACGTTGTTGCGTATCCTTGGCAACTGTTACGGGTATTTCGAACGCCATTGGCGGACAAAATATCTTAAATCCTACAGCATTAGATTATAGACCTGATATGCTTTGGGGGTCGGACGCGATGAGGCCGAATCCTCTCCGCCAAAATTATTGAACTCTGCAATTCGTTTTCTAGATGTTCTTTTCTTGTGAGGCATTTTGAAAATGAGCATGACATATATAATAAGTCCGTATAGATCCGTGGCAATTCGTTCTTATCCGTATCAATTCGTTCTTCTCCGTATCAGACTACTAACCCGTGCTTACCGCAGTGTATCCGTAGTGCGTCCGTACTGATTCGTGTCGCTCCGTATCAAACCGTGTCGGTCCGTAACAATCCGTGTCTCTCCCGGGGATTTTACCCAATCGCAACTGGTAAATCCGCCGAACTCCGTACTCATACCGTTGTGTGTGCGGACTACGGAATTTCACATTTCCGTAGTAACCCCCTAAGCTCTTCCGTGACATTATCCGTGAATATGTGACCGTGGCATTAAGATATTGTTAAATTGAGAAAGTTTAATAATTACCATATCTGCAAAACAATTTTCTCTTTCCTTTTTTCTTCTGCAAGTACTGTTAAAACAGTAATTGATCAGGTAAGAAAACAGCTATTTCGTGTTTGATTTGGGAACAGTCAAACAGTTGACCCTCGGTGTCGAGAAAGTGTTTTGAACAGTTGCTCTCGGCCTACGATCTTGGGCAACAGTTCAAAACACTATAATCTCCACCTCGGGCCAACAGTTTGACTGTTCCCAAATCACATAATTATGAAATAACTGTACCTAATCAAAAGGAAAATCTAACAGTTCTTTCTTTCTTTCTGTATACGTTCATATTTTACTGGTTTTTATGGCTTGCGTAATGTTATCATACGGTTATTTGTTTAGCAGACATATCAAGGTCTTATAATTACACTAATTCATTGAATCACAAGGTGTAGATTACAAAATTGTTGATTTATATAGATATAGACATTTAAGTGTAAACTTTATAAATTGTCGTATTTTTTCGGCTGAAAATAAGTACATGATAGGATCTTCCCAAGTCCCAATACAAGTTTTGTTTTTATCTGTTTAACTGAGTTGACTACAGTCACAATCAATTGTTCCTGGTCATTTTGCCATTTCTTATATCGCAAAATCGACCAATTTTATTTTCTTTTTATGAATTGATTTGGTGGGTATGTTTACACCTTCACAATTTTCATGACTTACTAATAGACATATATAAATGGTTACTCAAACGATTTTTTATTTGTCTAAAGGTGTTCTTAAAAGTCGTTTGCGACCATATCTAGTGTAAAATTTTACATTCATCTTGATGATTATTATCATTTTAATTAACTTTCTGAAAAACCAGTGTTTTCCTTGGCACAATACAAATTTAAAAGTGTTTATTAAAGAAATATATGATTCTTATAAATGATAACCATTTTTGAACAGAACAAATATCCTAAATTCAAAACATCGACCGGAAAAATTTGCCCATAATGTTAAGTACTATATTTATTAGTTAGCTTGTATTATATAACTTACAAGAATTATCTTTAAAAAAAGATACTCCGTCGAAGTAAAACTGGTTAACTTGCGTCTGTTAGTTCTTAGTTTTCCATGCAGTCATATAGAAATGTAAGCATAGCTTGCATAACAATGACATAATTTCTTGTAGGGTTATTAATCTCGAAAAATGGAACACTTTAAGATGTGTTTCTAAACAGACCTGTCGTGTTTCGGTAGGTGAACTCATTTATAACACCAACATATATATACGCAGTTGGTAAGGCAATTATTTTTATAAATACATGATTAAAATGCAAAAATATTTTTAAAAAATATAAAAATCATTATATCAATTGAACACGTCAAAATCATATAATATATTAGACACTAATTGAACAACTAATACCTGAGAAGTTCTGATATTATTCTCGTTATTTTGGACAGAATTTAAAACTCAGATATTGTGTAAAATAAACTCAGTAAGTTCTAACGTAAAATAAAACTGTTCACTAGAAAAATGTAATGAGATCTGAATGCAAGAAGTATTGTTAAATTGAACTTAAATATCTAAGCAATTTAACTAGAAAGTTAAAGAACTATCCTGTACATTTTATTTTAGAACTATCCTTTACATTTTATTTCATAATTGTCAAGAACTATCCTTTACATTTTAGTTTAGAACAGTTTTATACTGTCTTAGAATGACAAGAACTATCCTTTATATTATATACTAGAATGGCCATTGCCCGATGAAATTCCCAGATTTCATTTTTAATTTCAAAATGACTGGATGTTGATGAAAACTCTTCTTATATACAGTTCTTCCCTGTCAAACTGAAAACAACCGTCATTGAGCCGGAAAAAACACTACGTCATTGAGCAACGTCTGTCGTGGCTTTGCTTGCCGCCTGCTGCATTATTCCTGATATAGTGTTCCCATCGTAAGGTCGATGTGTTCTTACCTTATTTTTCACAGATTTTCGATTGCTTTTCTGTATTGGTCAGTCCTTTTTTTTTTACTTTTCATGCCATATAATTGAAAAGTCACTGGTAAAGTTGCCGATTTTGTTTTTTTTTAAATGTGATGCTTCGCATCGTTGTACTTTGACCGTGTTAATTAATGCATTTATATATCATTACAAAAATATCATGAACCATGATTACGTGTTGACTAAAGGAGCTAAAGAAGACAGAGCTGAACATCCCTGCAGTGATAATAAACGTACTCACAACGCTTGCATTCTTGCTATTGAAAGTTAATGTAGCTCTTCTTAATATCTTACTAGAATATTAGCTTAGCAATTATTTCAAATAAATAATATAAATAAATGAGAAACACACAGCATGTGATTTATTGCCAAACTGCGCGTAACTGATTAACATTTATATATTACTTAGCATACAACTGTATTGTGATTCATGTCAATCTTTATTTATTAAAAGATAGAGAGCGGGCGGGCATAACGTTTCAGTTCGTAAATTTAAGTACAGCTACAGGTCTATAATTTAAATATGTTGTAATACAATGATTTGATGAAAACAATTATTGATACATGTATTTCGGGAATTTCTGTCCTGCATCGAAAATATATCACAACACGCCATAGATATAGTGAGCGAGACGATGCGCACTGGCAGTGGTAAGTAGGAATTGTGTACGCGGTAAACCGATAAAAAACGTGCATATATATACATATGACGTCAGATTCAAATAACGTTTTCTCAGTGACGTCATTTTCAGCACTATGTTGGTTTTCTCATTGGACGGCTCATTATTAAATTCTTTTAATGCATTTTTGTATCAACTATATGGCATAAATGAAGCTTTAGTATGTATTTAAAACCTGCTCAGATACCGTGGTACGCCGTCTGTACGCTTAAAATTCAATGTGGCACTAACCGGATTCCGTAGGTAACGAATTTGTGACGTGTATAGTTTTCCTCGCGTGTCGGTTAGTAAAAGTGAGGAGTATAAAAAAAATTTAAAAAAAAAAGAAAGAAGGAAAAAACGTACAAATTGCGATTTTGTCGTAATATTCAATTTTTACTCAACGATAACTTAAAAAAATACACAATGTGACAGTATATTTTAGTTTTCGCATTGTTAAGGCTCGTAATATATCATTTATTTTATAATGAAATCCGAATAAACTTTTCAAAAATGAAATAAAATCGATATACGTAATACTATATTGTAAACACCTTCAATATTCAGTGCATAACTATTGTTTTGTTATTGAATTTACGGTGCTTATCCTTCAGGGAATGGTAATCAATCGAGGTTTTCAAGTCATTTATAAACACAATAAACAAAGACACTACATGCAATATTTACAGATATATTTTTGGATAAAGCATTTTTAAACTTTTCATCGGGCGAACATGTAATTTTAATGAACACTATCAATTCGCGAGATAAAAAACACCGGAACGTCTGTCAATTATATTTGTTATGTGTACACGACAATCGCGAATGTCTCAGTTTCCTTTCTAATCATAATATGTTCATAAATCCCCTTCAATGAATATGACTTATCAAAAAACATTGCACAAGTAACTTTTCTACTATTTACACAACTAAAGTCCACACTCCGGTACAGGTAATAGCATTTCGATTAACGCCGAATTTTGTTCGGCAGCCGTTTCAAATTCATCAAAGGTAATTTCCCCGTCTCCATTTACATCAATTTCATTAAACAGCCTGTCAGCGAACTTTATTGGTGTCTCGTTGTGTTTAACTGCCTCATCTGGTAACACTGACACATCAGCCACGGCCTGAATTTTAAAAATTAAAAAAAAAGAAATATTTCTAAGACGTTTGCAAGGAATCAAATCATAACTTACTAAAGGCCCATTATGCCCCAAACATGCATTTGTTTTCATCTTTCTTCAAAGCTTTATTTTTGTTGCTTCGTTAAAGTGTCCAGAATGTAACTAATTAGTTATTTGCTTGAAACATTTTTTGCTTCTGTTGCTTTTTCGCACTTAGTACAAACATGGTAATTTTGTATGGTATAAAATAATACTTTGTTTACATTTTGATACTTTTTGACAAATTTTTTCACATTCTACGATACTTTCTTTAGGTAACAAGCATCTAAAATACTTTAAAACCATTATCTAAACATTGTAAAACTCATATGTGGCCTTTCTAAAGAAGGAAAAAATCATTCGTTTCTGAGGCATAATGTGCCTTTAAAAATATTTTCATTAGTATTGTCGCCATTTTTGTTCGTGTTATTCTTTAGAAATAAATGTTCAGAGTACATATTTTGCTTCAACTTATATATATACAACATACATTTAAATTCAAAATTTTGTTTGCCCTTTCTTACTTAAAGATTATAATAAAACGTTAGGAGTACACATAGCCATAGCTATTCACTATCAACCGTTAGATGACCTAAACTTTATGCAACACACATTTGGGTTCATTATGACAATTATCAAAATTAAATATTGTCAAGAAGAAAACTAAGTAATTCAGGGTGACGAAAGGTACAAATTATCCACAAGAATGATACATTTTTCAAACAATTGAGGTGTTTTCCTTCTTAATATTTTGTTCTTCTCTTCTGAAGGCAATATTTAACACATTACGTGTGTATCCAGTTCCATATTACAACTATCACAAGAAGATCTATTTAAATCATGCTGAATGAAATGAGCCGCGTCACGACAAAACCAACAAAGTGCGTTTGCGACCAGCATGGATCCAAACCAGCCTGCACATCCGCGCAATCTGATCAGGATCCATGCTGTTCGCTTACAAACTCTATAACAAGTATAGACACCGATAGCGAACAGCATGGATCCTGATCAGACTGCGCGGATGCGCAGGCTGGTCTGGATCCATGCTGGTCGCAAACCCATTATGTTGGTTTTGTCATGACGCGGCTCAAATATAGTTCTGTGTATTAAGATAATTACGAAATTATAGGATCGGTTAATCATTAAAAAAATAAAGAAGAAAAAAAAAAGAAAATTACTTTAACTATCTGTCGCATCTCTCTCCTATCAATCGTTCCACTTCGGTCTTTATCATAAACATTAAATGCCCATCTCAACTTTTTCATTTTGGCAGCATTGTCTGTATTAGCCGTCATTTCAGTGATACTGAGTCCGATAAGAAATTCCTCAAAGTCGACCGTCCCATTCCCATCTTCATCAAAAGCGTCAAAAATACTATTAGCTAAACTTTTAACCTTGTCCCCGAAAGCATCTTTATAAACACGTATGAAATCAGCACGCTTTAAAGCATCTTTTCCTTTTGTTTCTCGTCTAAAATCTACATATGCTTGTTGTATTTCCTCTAATTTCATATCAGGAACTTTCCTTTGTAATTCTTTCAACAGCGGTCCCTTGAGTCTTTTTTGTCGCATTTTGCCTTGTTGTTGTCCCATTTCTTATATCCACTTCACTTTCTGGTGCTCCTAGTATCTCAATAACTTATAAAGTCAAGCGTCTCACTACGATGAAGCGTTTATGAATTTTTTTAATGTCGAACATGTGTTTATTATACACGATATCTGAAAAGCAAATTATAAATATCAAGTTATTTCATATCGGATCTTCCACAATAATTTACCGATAAAGAGATATTGATTACACGAAAAGAAATGAAGGGCAATATGTTTAAAGTTATTTAAATTTGAATTCAAATCTATACTTACAATTTGTAATAATTGTCCATTTATATAAGGAGTAACCTTTTTTAAGAATAGCCAAGTTTTTTCTTCTAAAACGGAAGTTCTGCTAAGGTAAGATTAATCTTCTATGACGAAGATAATAATCTATCAAGCATGTATTATACAAATAAGGACACTATACGCTCTACGGTCCACAACAAATTGTATTGTCTGAAGGCATTTGTATATCAGAAAATTCAATCGGTATTGAATAGAAGAAAAATACCATTCTTTTGACGATTTTAACAAATATCGATTTAACGACCAGGAAGTAGTGGCTCCCATAAATTACGCCCCTCAATTTGTACAATGAACTTGCTTTGTTTTGTTTTTGGAACCGTCCATTGTTATATAAAGATATTTCCATATCAAAAAGCTTAAAGTGAGCAACATTGGAAGAGTAAAAGCTGCATGCCTCCAGATGAGCCAAAATAGGTCAAGAAAATTAAACTTGAGAAATATTTACTTAGATTTTAAGAAAAGTAAAAATATTCAATATTGAAGTAATCATTTACATGTTATGTGCGATTCATGACTAATTCTACAGTATTTATCCCCATATTTCTACTGCGTGACTAATGAAAGAAAGTTTGTTTTTTTTGCATATTGAGAAATCATTTTGGTAATTTGCGGGGATTGTAAGTCCTGTTTGCAATGTGTAATTTACTTTTTTGTTCACTTAACGATAAATTACTAATACTTTTAAAATACATTTTCAAAATTTTCATGACAATTACTTTAATCTGGCAGGCATTTTTCTTTAAAATAAAGTAAGAACAGCAAGGTTTTACCCAATAGTTTCGAAGCAGTAAGTGTCCATTTTTTATTTCTAGAAAAATTTATAAAGAAATGGAGAAATTGTATTTCACATGTGCATGGTGTAACCAGTCAAAAAAAATGCATTTAGTATAAACCTAAGTCTTGTTTCTAGTGTACGTATTCTATGCTTAATGAGATCCATCCGCCAAGAGGACGGCAGAATAAGTAACCGTATTGCATTTTAAGGTTAAAATTTGAACCACGGTCTTGAGAATTTACCATTTCAATATCCATAGCCAATGAGATGGATTCTGAGCACTGTATATCGACAAAATACAGCAACCTAAAACAATGTAAAGCCAGTTAACACACTGTATTACCGGTGTCAGTAATGACAGATTGGTGCAATTGATAGAAATCTAAAATTTACCGATTACCACAGGTAGCTAGGTTATTAACTTAGCTGGTATATCTATATTAATTTATAAAATATTTTGAGCGGATAAAACGTGACAGCTTCGGGAAAATCCGTGAAAATGGGGAAGGGGGAGGGTGTTGTTTGAAGTAAATGAAGGGATTTCGTGATATACACATAAACAATCATCAAACAGTTGCCAAATATCTTTTTTGAGAATGTTACAAGCGTTCAACTAGCCCGGTCGAAGAGAATATGTGTTACCATCGCAGAAATATATTTTTGAGGTTGCCGATGATGACCGAAGCGCTCTGAAAGTGGCTAACATTCAAGAAATAAAACGTGAGCCAAAATGACATATATTTAGTCACTAAGATAACTGCCAATCAGATATATGAACTGCATGCTTTTCTGCACGCAAATGCTTTTGATATTAGTTAAGCCGTCAAAATAAAAACAACTTCAGAGGCATTCAGTGCAATATAAATCTGGACATTATTACACATAATAATGTTAGAAGGCACTTTCTTCTGTTGTGACATTGAATCACGGATGTAATTTAAATCCGTGATTGAATACTCTTGATTAAAACTTTGTTAAGGAACCTCCTAGTTACGGGCGTATTTCATTAAGTTGTAGGAGTCGATGTCTAAAATCGAAAGCATTTCACTACTTCGATTTTTTACTTCAATTTGTATCTATTAAATAATTATTACGCTCTCGTCGAATGTTTGTTATGATTCAAATAATTATGAGCTTACTGTAAATAAATACATGTATTAGATGAAAAAAAGTGTAGTTCGTGTTAAATTTCTGTTTGTTGGTCAGAAGATTACTATCAAGCCAGTTTGGGAAATATCAGTATTTTACTCAGGTGCCCATAATGCACCTGGGGTCTCCTTCCACCAGAGGTCTCCCTCCACCAGAGGTCTCCCTCCGCCGGTAAAGCTGAAAAGTCTCCATGTGTCCTTAACAGTGTCCGTGACATTGTGTAAAAGAAACAACAACAACAACAACAGCAGCAGCAGCAACAACAACAACAACAACAACAAAAATGAATAAAGAAAATAAAATGATGTGCATTATTTGTTATTTGCGTGGTGGGTCTATAACCTAAACTGCTACCTTTTACTCTCCAAAACTATTTTTTCTTCCAGAGACGTATTTAGAGCTCCACTGTAGCGAGCGAAAATAATTCCATGTCCATGCGAGTTCATGGCCCTAATTACTACCGGGCCACTCGGGTAGAGAAATTTACGTCGTTTTGAAAAAAAGTGGAATTTTGCCTTTCATCACAAATACTCATAATGTTAAGTACTTCATGTTCTATTTTGCAAAAAGCAATTTTATTAAATTGTTGATAGTTATTGACTTTATTTAATTCATGTATTCCATTTCTGGTAAAATCTTTAAATACCTTTAATTTTAACAGCTTTAAAGCCTAACCGAGGCATACAAGGAGCTTGTCATTAGGTGGTAGATATTGGTACGTTAATTTACACAAAGTCTGTTATCATTAGAGGAATAAAATTCTCACCGGTGAAAGGTCGTCCCATGCGTATAGAATATAAATTTATACATGTATGTATATAATAATTAAGACCAAAATTAGGAAATAGATGTTTTATTATTAACTATTCAACTTTCAGTATAGTTATTGGCAACATTAATTGGTTATTATGACCAGAACTGCATAAATCAGTACGAATTTTTTATCCATACAGCTCCAATTTCTCATATCATTCTCAAAGCGTCAATTTTATACATCTAAACATACATGAACACATAAAACATAGAGCAAGGTACATGTGCACCAAGGTATATTCGTTATTTTAAAAGTCCTACTTGGCAGAATGATATAGATATAGTTCAAAACTGGTTCATGTGACGACTATATGACCAGAATCTGATTCTGTTACGTTGAGATTTTGACAGCAATGAAGCCTTGCCTGTATAGATGTCTTCTTCTTTAATCCCGATCAGCTTTTCTGTTCTGGACACATTTTTTGAAATATCAACACAAACAACATTTCCTTGCTTTCCTTTTTCTGAAGAATTTTGCCGTTCACTCTTGCAGCATGTTTCTGGAGAATTTTGCTATCTATTCTTGCTTCATCATCTGTTCTACACCAGCTGAGGTCGAGCTTTGGTATTGGTACCCAGCCTTCAACACGCATGTATTCACCGTCAACTACGAGCACGAATTTCTCGTACATGTAACCACGTCCAGGTTTATCTAAAAGATCATTGGTCGCATATTTATACAACCACATAAAGCTACTGATGTTAAGTTTCCACTTCTGTGGTCCGTCAGCAAAAAATGCTTCCATATTTATTCTTGGTACACAAAAGTAAATGATGTCACCTGAATAGTTCAGAGATCTGCTTACGTCACCATTCTGATAACTTTTGATACAGCACCTGAATAAATTTCGTAGATATTCCGTCATTTTTGTAAGCTTTTTATTGCATGCTCAATTTGGTTCGTTCTGTTGTAGAAACCGCCGTCTAATATCTTCGCAACGACGTGACGTTCATGACGTGTTAACGTCAATAACGTCATATATAGAGGCAATCTCCTACGCAGTGATCTCCCCTTATCAGTACAGAGATCTCTGCCATCACAAACATTGAAATATCCAAATTTGGATATTTATATTTTTTAGATTTTTAATTTATTTTTCATTATTTTGTGTACTTTTGATAATTTTTTGTTAAAATATAACGGACGTAGGTACAAAAAGTTAAAAATAAAACAGAAAGAGAAAAATGACGTTAGATTTTCTATGTAACGGTCGATATTTACATTTGAATTTCGACGTTACTTCATGTGACTTTCATCATCATGTGACGTCTGTGAAGGCAGTGATTACAATTCTGCCAAGGGAGGTAATCAGTGTGAGGAGTTTGATATAGAAGAATGAGTGTAAGTTCAATACTGAATTTATTGCACGAGTTGAATAAAATTATATTATGCGAGCCTCTGGCGAGCATAATATTATTTTATTCAACGAGTGCAATAAAGTCAGTAATGAACTTACACGAATTTAATATTCTATTTATCACCGTTTAAAGTGAAATAAGAGTCATTTTTTTATTGACGCGCCTATAGTATAACGCTAACATTTAGCGCGTCTTTACACTATGTTTGTACAACGCTAATGACGTCACGTCAAAATATATGCACGGCCGTGCAATACCATATTTACGGAGTCGCAAAATCGGCACGGGTGTGTGATAAATTATTTTTAATGTAAAAATCTAAACAATATTAGGACAGTTAAACCATTCATTCTCTTTTCTATTAGATCAGTTATGACATTAGACAAAATATGGAAGTATGGTATTTGTAAAGACAAATTTGACGATTAAATTAAAAGAAAGGTAAACAAGTAGAATACAATAGATAAAAGCGAAATTATCAAGAAAAATAATGAAAATGTGCTGGTCCAAGAAAAAAAGTCATATTACTACTGGGTAGTAGTTTGATTTTGCTGAGTATAAGCTGCCGCAAAATCACGAAGGTCTCTTTTACGGATATAAAAAGGACGTAACACTGTGCTTAGAAAACAACGTGGTCAGATTGCCGCATGGTACAGGCATTAGCCTGTACAGCAAATATTTCTGCTATTCTGGAGCCCTCTTGTGGAAATCTTGAAAAGTTCCCCTTATGCAGCATTATGAATCTCTTGGTGCCGGGCAAAGCAACAGCATGAATTGATGTCTGTGTAAAAAAAAACAACATTTTCCAAAGACCCGTACACAGTTACCTACTCAGTGGCATATATTTTGTGAACTTGCTTATTTGAAAGCTTAGAGGCGCCCTTTACGTGAGTGTGTGTGGTGTATGGCGCTGGGTCAAGCAACCACGGTCACCAGAGCATCTTTCGGGTCAAGTCCGAAGCCCGGTGATCTACATGTTAAATTCGTCAAGGAAATATTCGTATGAGAACTAACACATAACTA